AATAATGCAGGTTTAAGACACTTTTATATTTTTTTTACTTTACAGACCCAGAAGCTCTGTCCACTAATTACATACTGTCAATGGTTCTGACTATGTATGTTGTTGTGGCAACCAATAAGATTTAGAGAAAAAAGAACATTATTATGGATATTATTAAGGACGAATAAATAAATTTATATATATTATTCATGTGGCAAACATCCCCAAAGTCACAATAAGGGACACCAAAGCCACAGAGCCAATACGTCAAGGTTTAAGGGGATATAAGGGATATTTTTTGGGGTAAAATAACAGTGAAATAGCTTTACATTCTGACAGCCTTTGCTGATATGGAGTGTTCAGTCAGTATCATGGGTCCCCCAGTCCCTCCCTTTTGCAGTAAACAGAGAATACATTTTCTGGTATCCTGTTTCCACTTTATCCAATCTGGACAAAGAATGCCACAGAGAGGCAGTCCTCAAAGGCAGGCAGCAGAATTTCAGTGTGGTGATGTGGGGAAGAGGGAGGAGACTGCCAGAGCAGACAGGAAGTTGGCCAAAATGCCAATTTCACATATGGCTGATTTAAGTTCCATGTTCTCCGTGCCAGAAGGTTGCATGTGCATTAAGTAAAAATGACAATCCCAGTGATTGTTTGGTACACTGTGAATTGAGATACTTTAATTTTGGTGTTGATATGATCTCATGTAAGTTATGGAAATATAAAAGTATGAGAGAAGCCCCTCTTTTAATGGAAAGGAGTAGTTGGAACCATGAGTAAAAATGGCAATGTGTAACATTTAGGACAAATATGAGAGTAGAAACACTTTAAGGCATTCTCTCTCTGAGAATGCCTTAAAGTTTTACTCTTTCACAGTGACAGACGTAGTTGTCTAAAGTCTACTGTATGAAGTGGGTGTGAATGTCTCAGTTTTGGAAAGTTATAGACACAGACACACATATTCTGATATTCAGTTGCTGTTTCTTGGTCACAAATGTATTTATGTATTTCTTTATTCCTTTCCAGTCATGCCCAGTGGCCCCTGGCTGCACAAAACATGAACAACTGCAACAACAATGATGGGTAAGAAATGATGATGAGATTTTAAGATATTTTATGGACCAAAAGAGGAGGTCAAAGGGACATTTTAATTTCATGGTGGAAAAAAAGTAATGGTCACAGGCTCACCGAAAATCAGACAACATATCAACAATAGGGCTGCAACTAATAATTATTTTCTAGATCATGTAAGCCTACTTTCCTGTCACTCTACATTAAAGGCAATAAATAAATAAATAAAAATTAGAAACTTTAAATAATATGCATAAACTATGAGCCTTTACTGGCTACAGTAAAGCCTCTTTCCATGTGATGTGACTATACTAAAACCTGTTTCGTCATGCTCCTACTGATCACACAGGTAATGTTAGTTAAAGTCAGTGATGATGTAGTACTTATTTTAACACCTGCAAAATACAGTAACATAACTTTACTGTGTCACAGCGCCCCCATCAGACTCTTTGATACAACTGCATGACAACAAGATGAAACATATTTACCTGACCTGCCTCTGTTAATGGGTATTTACAGAAAAAAAGATGACAAGAAGGATGATAAAAAAGATGACAAGAAAGATGACAAGAAAGACGACAAAAAAGACGACAAGAAAGATGACAAGAAAGACGACAAAAAAGACGACAAGAAAGATGACAAAAAGGACCCCAAAAAGGATGAGAAGAAAGATGACAAAAAGGATGATAAAAAGGAGGAACCGTAAGTACCACACATATTTTCTATGACTGCAATTTTCCATTAAATGGAAATATTCTAGAAGTTGATAATTTTATACAGAGATACAGAGATAGAAAGGTTGAAATAAACATTTTGCAAAATCTACATTTGAGTGTTGTTACCAAAAGTTCATAAACCAATATCGCAATTAATCCATCTACCAAAAATACTCAGGGATACATTTCTGAAGATTAGTGATAACTCCAATAATAATGGAATAGAAACAGCTGTAATTTCTCAAAAGGTTTTTAACATATTATTTTAATTTCAAACATGACGTTAGTATGTTAAGCAGTGGTAACAGTGGCAGTAGCAGCACTTACTGTAAAAAGTGATTGTAGAGGTTTAAGTATTCTTGTGTCAAAAGCTTGTTCAGCTGTCTGAGGTGTACTTGATTAATCATTTTAAAATATACAATATTAAAAATTGACATACCTAGTGCAATAAAAGTAAAAACAAAGATCAAAATTTGCCAAATCAAAAATCACATTTTCATTTGGAAAGAGAAATCCCTCTAACCCTTGCAAGAAATTCATATATCATATATCACATATAGACAGTAGTTTCCAGTACAGGTAGGACTGGCAATTCTTCAATATAACACTTGAATCTCAGTACTGACACAAACAACCCATGTCAGTACACCTTACTTTCTAAGTATAAACATGCTTTTCAACAAAAAAAAATAATTTTTCATTTAGAAAAGAGGTGTGGATCATGGACCCTGCAACAGACACGTATTATTACTGGCTGTGCACAATATCCATCCCGGTGTTCTACAACCTCATGTTACTGGTGGCCAGGTCAGAATTTATTGCATTTTGTATTTCCTCTTCACCTTATTGTTGTTTCAGAGGTCTTTGACATATTTCTTCCTTCCCTGTAGGGCTTGTTTCAATGAACTGCAATATAAAAATGTAACCCTGTGGCTGGTTTTGGACTATACTTCAGATGTCCTCTACGGCGTTGACACCTTTGTGAGAGCCAGGACAGGTCAGTGACAGGAACTTTGCATGATTACAGGAAACTCTGAGTATATGAATATGCTAATTATATTCTAATGTGTCTAAACAGGTTTTCTGGAACAAGGACTTCTTGTTAAGGATGAAAAGATCCTGAAAGAAAAGTACATGAAGACACGGCAGTTCAGATTAGATGTCATATCAATAATTCCCACTGATATTGTATTCCTTAAATTTGGAGTCAACAACCCAGAGTGGAGGTTCAACCGTCTCTTTAGGTTAGCCCGACTCTTTGAGTTCTTTGACCGGACAGAAACTCGAACCAATTTTCCCAACATCTTCCGAATTGCTAATCTTGTTCTTTACATCATCATCATTATCCACTGGAATGCTTGCCTCTACTTTGCCATCTCCAAGACACTCGGCTTTGGCTCAGACACCTGGGTATATCCAAGCATGAATAATCCTGAGTTTGCTCGCTTGGCCAGGCAGTACATCTACTGCTTTTACTGGTCCACTCTTACCCTGACCACAATTGGCGAGACACCACCCCCAGTCCGAGATATTGAATACTTTTTTGTGGTAGCTGACTTTCTCACTGGGGTTCTGATCTTTGCTACGATTGTAGGCAATGTTGGTGCCATGATTTCCAACATGAGTGCTGCACGTGTAGAGTTCCAGGCAAAGATTGACTCTATTAAGCAATACATGCAATTTCGAAAGGTCACCAAAGACCTGGAGGCAAGGGTGGTGAAATGGTTTGACTACCTGTGGACAGAGGAGAAGACCTGTGATGAGAAGCAGGTGCTGAAGAACCTGCCAGACAAGCTAAAGGCTGAGATAGCCATCAACGTACATTTGGAGACCCTAAGAAAAGTGCGCATCTTTCAAGATTGTGAGGCAGGTTTGCTAATTGAGTTGGTCCTTAAGCTTCAGCCTCAAGTTTTCAGTCCTGGTGACTACATCTGTAAGAAGGGTGACATTGGCAGGGAAATGTATATCATTAAAGAAGGAAAGCTTGCAGTAGTAGCAGATGATGGCGTTACCCAGTTTGTGGTACTCAGTGATGGGGCATACTTTGGAGAAATCAGCATCCTTGGTATCAAGGGCAGCAAGGCAGGAAACCGAAGAACAGCCAACATCCGAAGTGTGGGCTACTCTGATCTGTTTGCCCTGTCCAAAGACGACCTAATGGAGGCACTCACTGAGTATCCTGATGCTAAATATATGTTGGAGGAGAAGGGAAGGGCCATTCTCATGAAAGATAATCTCATAGATGAGTCACTGGTTGCTGCTACTGATGCCAAAGACTTGGAGGACAAAGTCAACAAGATTGAAGCCAGTTTGGAAGTCATGATGGCCAAATTTCGAAAGCTATCAGACCAGTATGAATCCTCCCAGCGTAAACTAAAGCAACGGCTCAGTAATATGTCGAACGAAGTCAGAATCCTCAGAGTAGACGATGAGTAGAACTTGGCACTACTATTGTCAGGCTTAGGCACTCCTCCATTTCAGGACATTCGTTGTGAGGTGGCTGTCTCCATTCATTATTCCCATATCTGGTGAAATAGTATGCTTGCCTTGAAAGTTGGCCATTGTCATAATCACGGATATGCTTAGAGTTTGGTACTTGAAGACTCTGAGTACCTGAGTATTGGAAAACTGTCCACTATAGAATACAGAATGCTTGGTCAGACCCATGCTGTGTCTCAATTCGAAAACTTCTGTTAGCACACTTGTATATGTAGTACACTATGCACACTACATAACTACTTGCGTAGTGCCCCAGTTTTGGCAGTGTAGTGTTGTCTCAAATTAAGCACGGCCGTTGTGAACTTACCAGAAATGACGATCACAACATTTAACTGCGTCACCTTCTTTTTCTATGGCAAATTGCAACCAGACGGATCATTAGCGCCAATACAGGCTTATTTTTCACTGTATTTCCTCATAATATTAATCATAAATGAACGTGCTTCTACTTTGTATAGCCTGTTTGCCCCGTTTCATGCAAGGTGGAAATTACAGTCTACGCCGGCGTTGTGTACTCCTCCTACTGATGAAGATGTACCAGTATGTTGCCTCTTCTCCTATGTAGCAAAAATGGCGTCCACTGAGGGTAAAAAGTGTCCAAAAGAGCATTTTGCCACACTCGACAGTGTGAACGAACTTATGTACTCAAAATAGTTAGTGTATGGAAGTATTCAAATTGAAACACAGCACCAGTCTTCTTTACTTCTTTACTATGTTCTTTGATTTTCACTAACATTTTGTACTGATTGTAGTTGTTGAAACAAAAGAGAAATTTGGCTTATTTTGTTACATTAGAAATTTGTTTGTACTGAGTAACAAAAAGAAAAGGTATCATTTTGGTCTAAAATTGGTCTCATATTTGCACTTGTAATGAAGTCATTTGAATGATGCTCAGCCCTACCAATGGATTTTTGTGATCGATTATAAAAGCATGGTTATTTGAAGAAATCAGGAAAATTACCAGCAATCACTACCACTGCTGTAGAGCACCTGTGAAATGCAGTGTCCCCAACACATCAGCCCAAATTTAACAAGTATATGTATATGATTAAAAAGGAAAATGATTATACTTTTTAATTTTCATTTGTGATATTTGAAGCATGATTTTAAAAGCAAAAATAGCACCTCAAGTACCGTTTGCCAGGTCTGTTTTAAGAACAGTAAACATACAAGAAGATTTTAAGAGTTATAACTGCTGATGACTGCTCAGTTGTAAATTCATTTTTAAATGTTCATAATAAAAGTTGCATTATTGCTATGTGCATCACAGTCTTGTTAGACACTGACATTGATTTTAGCATGACCACAAGGCATTGCTCTACTTTTAGATTGCATGATAATCAGTTATGTCAATTTAGGAAGTAAAATGAAACATTGTATGTGGAAGAAAGTCAAATAGTACTAATTCTAAATTGTATATGGCTGGTAAGTTTGTCCTTTTACCTAAACCTTGTTGGTCGAAATGTTGCATTATAAAATATTTGGCAGCTTGTAAAAATCAGTGTCAGGACTACCTTTCCATTTCTTTTATATGCTGCTTTTGTCATGCATATTCTATTTTCAGAATAGACAAAAGTGCAGTTACTTTATAGCGATTTATTAGGCTTTTTTCAATTTTGCTTGGTTTAGATCCACCATGTTGGTCTACACCAGGGACCTCAAACTGCTGCATGAGGGGCCATTCATGGCCCTCTACCACCCCATCCCCCGACAAGATGTGAAAAATATTATACTATCAGGCCCCCAATTCTTTAAAAAATTCTAGTTGTTATATATCAATTTAAACTACCCCTTCATATACAGCTTTAACAAAAACATGATTATATTTTCAGTTTATTTAATTTGGTGCAAAATAATAGCAAACGTGTTGATAAGAAGAGAGCAGGTGTTTTTTTTTGGTGGCCTTGTGGTTTGGCTGCAAACAACAAAGATGATATAAAACGATATTCAAGCTTTCTTGTAGTGTTGAACGTTGCAGTGGCCCTCCGATGAGATGGCAATACCAGTAATGGCCCAAAGTGCTACAAACATTAATGCTGGTAGAAAGGTGTCAGAACACACAGTGCATCGTAGCTTGTTGCGTATGGGGCTGTATAACATTATGACCACCAGCGTGCCCAGTTGACATTGCTGATCGGTGTACATCCATATCCTCCCTCACGGTTAATTGTAAAAACTCAAAGGACTTTTTATCTAGCACCATCATCAGGTAAAAATGTAAATTTTGTTTCTGACCAAATACCTGCGAAACTAATGACATTTGAGCCTCAGCTGCGCTTTGTTTAGTGCTAATTCCTAAATATTAGTATGCCAACATGTCCATGACCATGGTCAACAGACTCTTTAAGCCACTGGTTCCCAATCTGAGGCCTCAAACCCCACTAAGGGTCACCAAAGCTTCACAGGAAATCGCACTTGATTTTAAAAAAAAAAAAAACATAAATAAAAATACACACAGTTGGTCTATATTTAAGTATTTTATTCATTTCTGTGAAGAAAAACTACATTAAATTGTTATTTTTTAAGTTTAGATTATTTAAGATATACATTTTGAAGACAAGCTATATACACTGAGCCTTTACTCTCAGCTAAACCGCCTTGTCCTTCAATAGAAAAGTATAAAACAATCAAAGATCTAATAGAACTATCAGAAGAAAACACTGAATTTGTTTATGAATTAAGGATGTATAATTGTTAAGAATTAAAGTTACACAATACAGACAAAGAATTGTATAAAAAGTACCTAAAAATATCAGGAATGCTAATCTTTGATGAAATATTCACAAGAATTGACCTGCTCAAAATTAATTAAAATTGCTTTATTTACACAAACTTTGTGCAGTTATTGCATTCACTACTTTGATTCAATGTACAATTTATCAGTTTTTCTCTATTATTTTTATGCACGGAATAGAATATGAAAAATCCATAAAATAATAGAAAGGTTGGGACCCACTGCTGTAAGCCATTAACAACTGAAAGTAGTCCAAAGAGGTTTGCTTCTTAGCATGTCATATGGTTTAATGTTCCAGATGTGCATATTTGAGTTGAGCAGAAATAATTTAATGACAGAAGTAATGTGAGATTCTGTATCAAAGCTACATTGACTTGGATCAGTTAGAAACCGCTGAATGTGGGTGAGATTCATTGACACCAAAGGACCTGTGGACTCAAATCAGGATTATAAGTCAATACAAGTTGGAAAAAAGCAGTCATCTTTATTTAGCATGTTTTCACAACACTGAATACTTTTAGCCTTTCATCAGTTTGTATCTTTTAGAATGTAACTGTGGAGACAAACCAATTGATGAAAACTGCTTCTCTTTCCAAGATCAGGTTGACTTTTCACCTTTTACCTTCACTAGGCTCTAATGCACTTTCACATGTCCAGGTGAGCAGCATCTTCAGCATTACAAAACAGAGGTACAGAGTAATGTTAAACAGCTGAAACCAGACCTGGGCTCAATACCAAGTGTAATTCATCGATAACCTTTGCTTTAACCTACAGAGTTCCACATGATGGAGGTTTACTGCAGTATAACAATGATACATACTGTATGCTATAGTGACTGTCAAACACGGTCCAGTGTTAGTCTACATTTTTTAGGCACTCTTTGTACAGTCCAAAGTGACTCCAATTAAGGCTAAACCAAGGAGTGAAAGGTATTCTACTAAATAATTTTGCCCAGGTCTGGATGAAACCAATAAAATGAGAAAGTAAGACTAATGGAACGGAAAGAATGGCTCAGAGTTGTTGTGTACTGCTGTGGTCTGAGCACCGTGCTTTAGTGGCATTTTGTGGGTACCATCATGCTCACAGGCTGAGCAAAAAAAAAAAATCAGATAGTCCTCTTGCAGACACATCACAAGGACAGCAAGAACCTTAAAGTTAGACACACCAGTGTCTGAGGGAGAAGTCACAGATTCAACCTCCTACAACAACCACCACCACTGAAGTGCCCATGACAATACATAGAACATTTATCTGCTACCTTGCAGCTTTAAATGTATCAATGCAGATAAAGCTTCCTTGCTGTATCACTACTCACCAAAAATATATATATATTCTGTGTGTAATGGTTTAATATTAATAATAAAAAATTATCATCTCAAGGTCAACTTAATAGTTTTCAGGAACCTTTAAACCTTTTTTTCCCCATCATCAGTGAATGAAACTGGCTCTGGTGTTATTACATGGTGACCAAAGAAAAAAATATGGGGCAAGATGGTAATAACCTCCATCTTTGTTCAAAGATGGTCTCTGGTGTCAGATGTGAATGTCCTCCTTGATCTTTCTGCACTTGTCCACTGAACCCTAGTCCATGACCTTTGACCTATTCCCAGTGGTTGCTGTGAGTAGTTTTGGTCTTGTGTTCACAGACAGTTAATGTTGTCCGTTTCTGATCCTCGACATTAAACCGCAAAACCTGGATGAAGATCAAGGAGGACATTCACATTCAACGGCAAAGACCATTTGAACAGAGACAGGAGTCACTATCTACCCCCAGTTGCAACAGTTAGTCCATTAATCAATTAGTTGTCAACTATTAAATTAAATTGATTAATGAATTGTTTTGAGTAATTTTTTAAAGAAAAAAATTCCAAATTCTGTGATAACAGCTTCTGAAATTGTAATAATTTGTTTGTTTTAGTCCTCTGTCACAATAAATTGAATAGGTCTAGGTTGTGTACAAAACAAGACATTTGAGGAAATCACCTGGGCTTTGGAAAATACTTATCAGTGATCATTCACCATTATGAACCTAACAACTAATCGATTAATAGAAGAAAAGTAACAGACTGACAATGAAAATAAGCATTAGTTGCAATCCTTGTGTCCTGTGACTTAACTTACATACATAGGTCACATGATGACACCTGAGCCTGCTCCATACTGATTAAGACTATGACATGTGGTTAAAAGTTTCAAAAAGCTAGTAATCAGACCTTGACATAAATGGTATAGCGTATCATTTAATGCCAATGCTGAAGATAAGAGGAAACTGTTTCACAGCAGTCTGCACAGTCAAACATGTCCAGTTTACCCAAAAGATTACTAATCTGGAGGTAAAACAAAAAGGTAAATGTTAAAGGAGCAGTGTCTTTGTTTTACTGTTTACATTTTTGATGACCTTGTTCAAATTTATGCTATAGTTTTTGAATTTTGGTGTATTTTTCACACTGTTAACAGCAGGCATTGGCTTCCGTTAGAGCTGCAACTATCAGTCAATAAAATGATTAGTTGTCAACTATTAATCAGCAACTATTGTGATAAGCAATGAATCAATGAGTCGTTTTAAACCAAAAAAAAAAAATCCAAATTCTCTGATTTCAGCAAAATATGAATTTCTTTAGTCTTCTATTAAGGTAAACTGAATATTCGAGGACTTCATCTTGGGATTTAGGAAACATGTTTTACCATTTTCTGACATATTGGACCAAACAACTAATCTATTAATCGAGAAAATGATAGCTAGATTAATCAATAATGAAAATAATTGTTAGTTGCAGCTCTAGCTTCCATTCCTTCCTGTCAAGTATGGAAAATCTATAAGCAGACTCTTGAAATATGCTTCAGTTGCATAAGCCATCACAAGGATGTGTGGCTTGTTGTCAGTGTTGTCTTTGTCTGGTAGTAAAGGTAAAGCTCAGCAGTCCACACTGCAATTTGCAATCTGATGAAATGATACATTTCAAGAGTCTGCCAATTGATTTTCATATAGTCCTGACATTAATGGAAGCCAATTGGAATGGTAGAAAGAATTTACATTTCTAACAGAGCATATTGTTTGGAAAAGGGTTGGCTCTAACGTGTATTCATGATTCTTAGTCAAAAGGCAAAAGCTTTAACAAATTAAACAAGTTATATAAAAAAATAAAATTTAAAAAATAATTTGGTTCAACTGTAGATGCTTCAAAACCTGTGAGGGTGTGTGATGACTTGTGCTGCTCTCCCTAATGCACTAATATTGACAGTGGCAGAGTATAAAATTGTTGAGTTCGAAAATGAAAAGAATTATGGCCAAAACTACAAAACAAGACCCAGGTTGTTTAAAACAAACAAACATTTAAACCAGTGAATTGAGTCAGTGTGCAAGATCATCATGCAAGTTCTTTACAATTACACCCTATTCAGCTGAACAAAAACTGAAAAAAAATCATCAAAAAAATACAGAAAATCTGCCTGTTCTGTGGGGAGATGATTCACAGTTGATATTCCAATTAATGTCGAACAGAAAAAGTCAACACTTATCATTAGACTTTTCCATACAGTGGTTACACCTGCTTTCATTCTCAATGAATGTGACAGATCCAAATATAAATCTGATCAGAGTGATGTGTCCATACCTTTCTACATACTTTAAACTCAAAATATACAATATGGAGTTTTTTTAAAAGTGGATTATTTTTTCTCCCCAGAGCTAGGTTAATTGTTTCTGTCTGCTTCCAATCTTTAGATGCAGTCGAGGTGACATTTAAATTCATGATGGATAAGATCTCAAAATCTTATTTTTCCTTTAAATCAGAGATACTCAACTTGAGAACCATGATAGGGTGCCTTCTGGCCTGCAGACCATTTTCTAATTCACAATAAAAATAAACTGATTTACACAGGGATTGTTGTGCTTGTATCAATTCGTAAATGTTCAATAATGTCCCTTGGCTGTTGCCTAGAAAGTTACAAATCTGCGTTTCAGCAATCTGTGCAGCTTGCAGAAGCAGTGACACTTGATTTCTGACCTGCACGGGACTGCAGCGACTGGTCTCTTGGCAAAGATGAGTGAGGACAAAAAACATTGAAAGGTTGACAATGGAAACAGGCAATTCAATGAAAAATTGATAAATGAATTTGCCAAATCACAATTGCTGTATGCAATGTTGCTAATATCAGGCACCATCACCAGTCAAAACATGCTAGCTTCAGTGCAGTTGCCATCTGATAGCTAGGGATGAGAATAGAGAAGCAGTTTCTGTTGAGAACCTGTTCCTAATTGTCTAATCAATTGGAATCGTATGCCGCTGAGCTTATAAATTCCCATTATCAATGCCTGCATATTTTTCTGACAGTTGCGCATTGCAAAACAATGACGTCAAACTCGTGTCTACACTGCTGGTTGTCAAGGCAAAGAGGAAGAAGCAGTCCAAAGCGTGGCTTCATTTATTAAGAAACTCAAACTACTATAACTCTACTCTGTTTCTACACTGGGTTCAGTCTCAGAGATAATAAAACAGTTGTGTTGATGCTATAAACTTGTAAAGGCCTACTTTCTTAAACACAAAATTGATCAGGAATTAATAAGGGAATTGACAAACCAGACAGATAAGCAATAAAATCTTATCACTTTCAATCCTACTGGTAGCACTGCAAGAAAAGATTACCACTTCCAACTACAACTGAAGTCTTTTTTTTTTTCTGCCACAACAAACATCTTATGTTTATTCTTCTTATCTGATACATAAACATATTTGTTTGCCCCCGGGCAAAGCAAGTTGAGTATCCCTGCTTTAAATCAGATCACACCCACAGATTTGCATATATGCTGATATTATTTTCCATTCTGGGTCTAACAGCAAAGGAGGGACTGATAGGAACGGATAGGAACGGATATGGGACTTCTTTGGAGACTATGTGGCTTCAGGATTGAAGCTTTAATATAAAAAAAGTTGTAGTTGTTTGTTTAGATAGAGTTTAAGACTGCTTTCCTCACTTGCCCTGTGTGTGATCACAGTGCCAGATGGCTCACATTTAGAGATCTGGCATGGCACTGTCAATTCAAACACTTAGACCTGTGTTGTCAGAGGATACATTTTGTATTAAAATGACAGACATAACCACAATCAGAGACTTGGATCTACAGTGACAATGAAAATGTCTGTGAACACACTGCCTTCTTGACTACATGTTACAGGAGTTATATTGAACAGAGACCCTGCAGTGTGAGCTGTCTATTCATACAAGACTAAGCCAGAAAAAGACAACACAAAATGCTTACTGGGGTTTCAACTGACTGTATAGGTTGGCACAAGAAGAGCTCTGTGTCTGTATCTGAGAACATCATCAGTGACTGGTCTACAGGTGTACATCCTCCAAAAATGTGAACAATACGGTATTGTAGTTTCAACCGCACTGATATATAAATACTGTTTTTATTTAGAATCGTCAACACAGGAAGACATGGAAATAAAATGCTTCAAACAATCATGGCAACCTGTGGCCAAAAAACAAACATTCTGAAAATGTCTAAGTGCACTTACACAGCTCTGACAAGATTTTAGTCTAACCTGTGGTGTGTCATCCCCCCACTCCCCCCGCCATAAGGAGAAAAGGCCCAAAATCAAAAAAGAAAAACAGCTATTTCATGATGTGCCATTTTGGACCAAATGACAGTAACTTTCCAAATGCTTACCTTGATCAAAAATGGACTTGATAGAAACAATAACCGATGGCTGAGTGGAATGGTCAGCAAGAGGTCTTTCTTCTGTGGAGAATACAATATTTTGTAGTAAAGACTACTCTAATGCTAGATTTCCTCTGTCAACAGTTTGTGAACAAGTTTTCAGGGGTAACATGTTTTTGTTCAATAAATGGGGTTTATATCGGCTGTTAATGTGTTGTCCCAAATTTACATGGTTTAATATTAACCCTCCCCCTTTCCCCAAGAAGGGAAGCTATCACAACAGGCAGGCATGAAAAATAACCCATTTTAACCTTAAAATAAATAATAAGGAAAATGATCCTCTGTACATAGAAAAAAAGATGGGGAGGCTGCGGCACATTCACATAATGTGGATGTGGGGTGGATACTTTGATCAGGAGGTCTCTGTGCTTACACTGACTGATGTGGGATGATGCAGGCACAGTAGAACTACTAGAGCGCTCTATTGGAACCATTGACTTGCTTTCCTCGAAACATACTCTGGTCTGTCTTTTGTCACCTTTTAGATTGTGTCTGATAAAGGAAGGGCAGGGCAGGGTTTGATGGGTTTTCAGAGAAGGAGTCCATTTGCTGTGTGTTTGGAGCAGGGGCTCAGAGCATGCCAAACCCTTTGGCATAGGTGATGGCTTTCAGCAGTCTCTCCCTCAGCTTCTCCTTGCTGCTGTACTCAGGTAGCAGCAGCACATTAAAGCAAGTGTGGGACGTCGGTAACCTGACAAGACAAAACAAAACACGGCTGGTCAGTTTCACCCTGACTGATGCACGTATCAGCATCAAACAACATCATTTTAAATATATTGTTTCTGGAGCAGCAACATTTACAACAGCATAATCTCAAGTGGCAACCTCTCAAATGAAGCCAACATGGAAGTATAAAAAAAAAAATAAAAAAAAACTGTTGAAACCTTGAACGGCCACTTGAGGCTGGCTCCAGAAGTGAGTCGACCCCCATAAGGCCCTGTATTAAAATCCCCAACTTTAAAGCAGAAATAAACATGTTAACAGCCTGGTAGAACTGTTTTGGTCCCTATAGCTAATTTCCCCATTCATGACAACTGTACAGGGGGTTCATTTTTACATAACTTACTTGTTTAAATTATATTACGGCTTAAGTTATGCATAATTAAAAACGTGGCTGCTTTGAGTGACAGATGAGTGCCAGCCACTGGCGGCTGTTTTCAGTAAACAGGCATCATTTGGCCCACCTCAGCTTTACCTCTTTCCCTATTCTTGGATTAGCCAGGAGCCGGCAGAGTCAGGACTGCCAAGATAGCAATGGCCAGAGCCCACCACACTGAGCTTCACAACAGCTTTTCAGAAAGCTAAGGATGACGTCACAGAGACTACGTCCATTTTTATTTGAACAGTCTACTATATACACTCAATAATACGTCACTGGGAATATCTCAGCCATTAAAGTTTACAAGAATTTTCTGAATTTTAAGATTAGTGGCACATACAGGCTGCTTTTGTTTTAACTTGTCCGTAACAATTCGCTGTTAGCTTAACAAGCGTGCTGCGGTTGTGTACAACAACAACAACAACAAAAACATTTTTTTCCTCTTACCTGTATAGCTTTTTATCCATCTAGATTGTTTTGGTGGAATTTTCGGCTATAGAGATGGCTCTCCAATATAATGAAGCCAGATGGCACTTTGGCTTGTGGTACTCAAAGTGCCAAAAAATACATGTTGAAAAACTCAACAGCAATGTCTCTTTCCAGAAATAGTTCCAACATGATACCGCTCACACCAAGTTCTGTGGATTATCTTGAGTAATCGGGTCATGATTTCTGAAAGCACCACAAGCTGAGTGCCACCTGGTTCCATTATATTGAAGAGAAGAGACATCGGCCGATATCACAAAGATTTAGCAACTCATACAAAAACATTCTCGCTGGATAAATAGCACTACAAGTAAGAGGAAAATACGTATATTTGATTCTGGGGTGAAATGTCCCTTTAAATCATTTAATAAATCTTCAGTTAACAAAATGAAAATGTTTGTACAAACTAGGTCTCTCTTAAAACGAGGGAGCATGTCACACAAACATAGTGTGCATAAACACTACATGAGTACATCACAGCAGAGCCAAGGAACAGCATTATGTATGGAGGTGGTTCACCTGTCCGTGTCAGGGCCGTTCTTGGCAATGATCATCTTCAGCTTGCCCAGCCCACCCACAGGTGCTCTGTCAGTGCCAGTGGTGAACTGCAGAAAGAGGCGCTTCTGCTCCTCACCAAACGAGTGCAACGTCTCCCAAAACTCCCTACAATGCAAACAAACATCTCTGACAGTCAGTATATTTACATTGTTAACAAAACACAAAGTATCCAGTGGAAATTACACCAATCCTCTCATCAAACTATGTTTGTATGTGTTATACATTTTTACTTAACGTGTTAAAGGTTAGTCTTTAACAGCACTAGTAAACTGCAAATTCTTTACACCAGTATCTTGACCATTTTGGTAAGGTCTTTGCACATTGGGTTTGAAATCATACTCATAACTTGTATACACATACTGTACCTACCAACACATATACACACACACTTACTTGATGATTCGAGAATCTCTGTTGTAACCACCATCATATTCTGTTGTTTCTTCAAGTGCTAGGAAATCCAGGTTCTGCAGTGTGTGACAAAGACAAAACATGGATGGAAATAAGCATTTACTCTAATTCAAATGACTTCTTATGAGAACCCTCTTATGACCAAAACTGTTACTTTCAGGAAATGAAAAAAAACCTGTGTCAAAGTTGGTATTGTTGTTTTATATACTTTTCATGGGGCAAATATTTGTAAAAACAGACATAAAGGGTGACCAATAGCACAGATTTATGAAAATGACAAAATGCGGAGAGATTAGGTTTCCACCCCACAAGGACAATGTTTATATGTGTGGGAACAAATCTTACTCTGCTTCCACAGATGAGGAGCTCGATCTCCTCTGGTCTGAACAGGTATTTGAGCGGCGACTCGTTGGTGACCATGTGGAAGCCTCTCCTGAATGCTTTGAACTGCTTCTCCACACTTTTGTTCAGCATGTACTCTGCATACTGGGCCACAAACTCCTGCACAAAAACACATCAACATCGCACATTTATCTTTTAAGGAAACTTATCCTAGTAATATGTAGCCTTGAAGATAGCTTATTTGGCATAGTTTGTACTTCCATCACTGAGACATCTGCTGCCACGCCAATATAATGTAGGTGAATGGAATAAAAAATGTCTCAGCACCAAAAAAATCTAACAGCAACATGCCATACTGCACAAATATTCCTGTGACTGAGGATAGTCTACATATCTCACAGCAATCATTTCAATGATAAAAATACTGAGCACCTTAATCAAGTCCATGATTCATTTTCAGGTAATCGTTGCAAACCCATAAAACTGGGAATTGTGAAATAATATAAAGTCTGTCAAGAAATAATTGATTATGAGAATTATTAGTCCAGATTGTTACTGGTTGTCATCTGTCAGAAATAGTGACAAGCAGCTAAAATCTGGAGGGGAACGCTGTGTATGGAAATTCAGCAAAAGCTATATGCTGTATGGTAGCAGAGGATAGCTACTTTTTAGTGAGGAACTGCTAAAATACACAGCACACCTCTTTATTACTTCCTCTTCCATATCTGATGCACCCACACTCATACACTGAGACCCACCTATGTCTTACCAAAAAATCACTTTTCACAGAATATATATATAATAGAATGTTTGTATGAGAATAGATTTAGTAGTGTAGCGTTTAAATTACTACACACCTGTCTATTCTGCCACACAGTCCTGTGATTGTTTTTTTTTACTTTCACACAAGAAACAAACCACACCAGAGTTCAGTTGAATGCAGACCTCAAGAATAAGATTTACACAGTTTAGTTTTAATGTTTTCTGTTGGCTCACCTTTCTGTTTTCATTTGTGACTGGAATCTTGTCCCCATTTTCCCTTAAATCATACATAAGTGGATTTCCAAACAGGTCTGTCTGGGAAATTTGGAAAGTGATCATCATGTCCTCCTCCACACTGCCCTCATACTCCAGCAGCTCCTTCAGGCTCTGGTACAGAACCTTTCCAACACAGTCAAATTATCACAGTCACAAACAGGGCTGTTCAAAAACGTTTCAGCACTTTCAGCAGCATAATCTGGTTGCAAAACTGCATTTGTACCATAACTATCAGCTAAAAAACAATCACAGCATTTGTGTCGCAGGATAGTTCTTACCGGGTTGGCATCAGCCAAGTCCCTGAAAGTTCCTTTCTTGCCCATCAGCTTCCTGTAGACCACCATAGGAAAGTGGACATCCAGGATACAGTTGTTATAGATGGCCAGACCAAGAACGATGCCGATGAGAGTGTACTGTCCCTCATTTTCAAACGATGATGGGTTGAACCAAAACATTTTGGTGCGCTCGTCGTATGTGAACATGCCTGAAAAGAAAAAGTGTAAATTAATACTTTGCATTATTGGCATAATAGATTCTTTGAAGAAGAATGTGATGCCTTGGGTATAAATTGAACCTTGGTAATCATTGGACTTTCCAAGACAATGATGCTAAGCATAAATCCAAGTCATAAATTTTAAAAAATACAAAATATTGACCTGTTTGAGCGTATCTGTATAAACTGCAGAATGGAGTTGGGAAAAATAATTTCCGCTTTGGGGATTAATAAAGTGATTCTTTCTCTTCTTCATTATGTTTCACTGTGACTGTCACAATGTCATATAGCCTGTATTTAATGTAACTCAGCACCCTTGCCATCTTAACTAACACACAATAATGCTGACAGCCCTAATTTTATAATGTAATACTACACTGCACTACACCACACTAATATTATTCCAGGAGGATTAAACCTCCTGTAACCTGTAAATGTAACCTGCCTTGTAGTTACACCATTTAAATGACCTGTATTAGTTACTTTAGCTGCTGAAACTGTCACTGCCCTACTTGCAAACATTAGTTCACACGCAATTTTGTAGCACTCAAACTGAAAATGAAAGAAACATGTTGAAGGCGAACAGTGTTATCCTAACTGCACATTTTAAATTTCCATTACATTTTGAGAGTGTTACTTCCTGTTCAACTTATGACATATAAAAACACTGTAGTTTTTCACATGCAGTTTTACAGTGCGATGGAATAATTGTACAGGATATTTCAGGTGTAATCAGCTTCCTGTTAACTTCTAAATAAGGACCTCCTTTGATTAAAGTAGCTTTGCAATGTCACAGAGAATCTTTTGAAAAGGCGTGTCCTTACTGCCCCACGTCTCAGTAATTAAGTCGGTCAGTAAAACATTATCATACCTGATAGGGAAATCTACCAACATAAAACCCACACAGTGTTCTTCAACCTGCAGAATCACCACAGCCCACAAGCTATGTATAAGCTGCCTCAAGTAGATTACACCGTATTTAACAGCTTGTTTAAAACAGGGTTGCCACTCTTTTGTAATGATACTTTTCAAGGACAAATTATTTCAAAATGAAGGACAAATAATTAATGTATATGTTCACATATACCAACCCAGCAGAGTACTATACAATATCTTGAATGATTTACCAGGGACCAACCAGGAACAGGAAAAAAAAAAACACATTTATTTCATCACTTTTATTTGTTTTAATCATTAAATGGTCCTAATTGGGCACTGTCTCATTTAAGTGCTCTAACCATTTTTAGGCCCAACAAATAAAATCTGAGCTTTATTGCAATAACTAATTAATAACTAAATATCCAATAATGGTCAGACCACCACGCCAAAAAAAAATTCAATATATTAGCCAATGATGTGCTTACTCAGACAAAAATGGGCTTTCCAACCATATGTATTACAGCCTGTTTATGTCAAATATTGTGGAATTCAAAAAACCTTTGTGGAGAGTGACAGGAACAGTGTATCAAGCTTGTTCCAGTGCTCCACATGTACAGAAATTGTATAATGGGTGAATTTTGAGATGATGGGAGTCCACAAGGCTAAAATTAAAAGATTCCAACAGGCCAAATCTTAAAAGCACTTTCAAGGACCTCTTTATTGCTCTTTCAAGGTCTTGATTTGTTTTTATTAAATCCAAGCACTTTCCAGATCCGTGGCAACTGTTAAAATCAGCCTATATGGCATCTAAGGGTATATTCATACCTATAGTTTGGAGCATTTGTCTTAAAATCGGGAGCATTTACTCCCTTTGTGCACTTTATTTGGGCATATATGTGAACACAGCAGTCACACTCAGATGCAGGAGAAAACAAGCAGGCCAAGATCTCTTGAAAAGGGTGGTCTGGGTACGCTTCCAAGCAGACTGGGGTGCGTATCAATTGTGGTGTTTTTATGATAGATATGTGACTTTAGCATTTTTCAACATCAGCACATCAGCACAGGTGTTTTCTCTGATTAAAAGGTGTGAACGGTGTTAAAATGCTGTGTTTGTATCCTACTCCATGTACTTTGTCAGTTCATTGAGTCAAGTGTCAAATCATTACTGTGCAAGATGCCTCTTTTTTTGTCCTGTCTCCACACTATTATTCACATACAGTTGCAGTCTAATAATACCGGTACTAATAATGGATCTGATATTTCTTCATAAAGAAAATAAATATACACATCAGAAGCATAAAAGTGCTGTATAACCGTCCGTCATCTACCAAAGTTTCATTTCCCCATGTGGGTCCTGATAATGCAGGATGACAATCGGCAAAACTGTTCAATCAACAGTCTGTATAACTTCATGTTCACTTTTTTGTAAGTGTGAACAGGACCAGAACTAAAATGCAACAATGCATCATTTTTTCCCTTTTGTCTAGAACAAATTAACCAAACTACTACCCTTAACATACAGTTCTTACCAATATCTGGGTTGAAGATTTCCTCCACCACCAGCTGAAAGAACTCTTTGGAAACGCCTCCTTCATCAACACCTTGCTCTCCTTCAAACTCCACATATAGCTGCTTCTTCAAGTCTGCAGGATTCTCCATTGCTATCATCTCCAGCTATAGAGATACAAGAGAAAGGAAATTATAATTTTTATTAATTGTATTTTTTATTTATTTATGCTTTGGCAATAAAGATTCATGTCATTAAAGCATATTAAATTAAAATAGATCAATGCAATGTGTCCAAGACCAGAATTGTATTATTAAATTGTATGTATTGAACTGGCACACACATACCCTGACCAAAGCGTCATCAATGATGTGGTCTCTGCGCACTTTGAGCCTCAGGTAGGGGTTGAGCTGCTGACCCTGCACCAAGCTGTAGAGCACAGTAATACGCCGCTCGCTGTACATTCGGATACGGTTGTCATAGTACAGACCCAGGTTCTTGGTGACGGCGTTCAGGATGAAGGGGCAGGTCATAAAGGAGAACTTGTTTTCAGTTTCAACCTTAAAGAAAGTGTAGTCCTTGTCCATCTCCAGCACCTCGTTAAGAGGCTCATTGACAAATTCCTCAAATGGAACGAGCGGCCGCCGGCAATCATTGGTTCGGATCCCCAACTCCGTCTCCAGCGGGTCCACCCGAGGGCCCTTCTTGTTCCGTCGTTCCTCGCCCAGTAGCTCCTGCAGGGTGAGCTCGCTGGACTCTGGAATGGGCTCCTCGTCCTCTTCCTCGTTGTGCTCCATGTCGAGGTCCCCGCCCAGCACATTTGCATAGTAGACGATCTTCAAGCACTTGGTGGCTGCCACCACTGCGTCATCATCGTTTACCAGGTTGCGGCTGTTGAACTCGTTACTGATCACCTTGTAGGTAATGAGCTGCTGGAAGGTCTCCACCATGCGCCGGATCTGCTCAGCACTGTAATGCGACCACAAGCGCGCCAGCTTGGCCTGAGCTGCCAGTGGGAGTTTGCTCATGGCCTTGCAGAACTGCGGGAGAGCGATCTCCAGGTACTCTGGGCTGTGGAGGTTACTGTTTTCCATCACTATAACAAACAGATTCAGGTAGTTTGGGTCTCGTGAATAAACATTGTGGTACGTCAGGTCGCACTCTACATTGGGTGAGAGGTAGACCAGTGCATTCAGGAAGGCAGCTTCTATCTTCTCATTGGACAGCAGGCGCTCATAGACCCGCCGTACAGCTTCGATGTCTACCGACACCTCATCAGGGGCCAGCTTTTGGACATCATTTTCCCCTGAGGAGCCCTCTCCGAGCCTTGACGATGAAGAGGAGGCAGGGGAGTCCTCCTCCATAGCTGTTGCAGAGCAGGCAGCTGCCTCCTTCTCGTCCTCATCCTTGTCCTCATCCTTACCTTGAAGGGACTTGAGCTCCTCCTTGGTGTGAGGTTTGGACCTCCGGAAGCTCTGCACCAGGCCCTCAGCACTAGAGAACACCCGACCTATTACCCTGATCAGAGGTGAGTAATCTTCCTTCTCTCCACAGATGTCCAAGATCTCATAAATCTTCTCCTCTGTCAGGTAATTTACATCTACAAAAAGAATCAAACAATAAAAGGTTAGACATAAGACTACACAATCATGTGACTTTAACAGTATATTGGGCTCAATTTCATTCATCCATAGCATGTAAATCCTGAAAGCTCACCTTTGAAATTGTCCCGTACAGAGTGGACATCTTTATGGTTCATCTTCCTGTTGCTGCAGGCTGAGTTGCTGTGAGCACTACTCTCTAGGTAGGCTGAGGCAGTGCCTTTCTTCGAGGGATGGGGGTCACATAGCTTAGCGTTGACCTTGTAGAGCTCCAGGGCTTTGACCGCTGCTGCGTTGTTGTCCATGCGGTTGAAGTCGACCGATGAGGCACACCATGAGTTGGAGCACGACTCATTCCCACAGCCCTCCGTTAACTGGTGGTAATAGCGCTCTATTAGATGTTTGGCAGCTGCTCGCTTCCTGCATTTAGAGGTAAGGGACAACAGGTTATAAGCACTGCAACAATCCAATTTAACAATGCAAAATGGGATGAATGGTAGAGACAAGAATATTTCCCATGTTTACAATTTAGCAATCATTGAATGTTTATTTAATCAGACGACTTAAGACTGTTGTTGGTGGTCAAATGAGTACAGTACAATACAATACAGTGCATTGACAATATACTGCCACATCCATTTTGGTTTAAGATTTTTGAATGAAGTACTCTGGCTGCCAAAGTATGTTGAAGTTTTTCTATGCATTTTGCTAGAAAAAACAACTTTGTTGGGAATGTCAGTTAGATTTATCATCCATCTTACCCATTTTATACACCCTCTGGAGAAGCAGATAATTATTTGTTATAGTATTGGCTGAACAAAAATGTATAGCCTGTATACGATACCAGTATTGGTTTTCGAGAGTTAAATAAATCCGGTATCAATGTCAGGCGGTATAAATGTATTAACATAAACATTTGGGATGTTCCAATCCGATCTCAAATATCGTTGTCAGTCTGATCAAAGCATTTTTAATTGATCGTGTCTGTTGAGCTGTATTAAGCCCAATCCGATCCTTTGTTTTACATCACCTGTCACATGTGTTTTTACTTGTAAAGCTTTTATGCACAGTGCAACCATCGTTAACTCTGTCTGCTGTCTATCTCTCCTCCACGTCGCTGAGGCCTGCTCGGAGGAGAGACAGATAGCAGTAGAGAGCCATACGTTCACCATGAAGCTGAAAGTGCAACAAAAGCCCTGCACAAAATATGTACAGATGCCGAAAATAAAAGCTTAACAGAAAACATCTCATTAAGGTAACTTAAACATTAAGGCTGCATAAGGGGACAGCAAAAAAACAAAAAACAAAACAAAAAAAAACATTAAGGAACTTCTTAGATGCATGCATTTTTTCATGCAATGAAGAGTGATTCTCCTGTATGTAGGAAAACACATGTATCGGATTGGGATACTGAATATTAAATGACTCAGATTGGGATCGGGGCAAAAATCTTGATCAAGACATCCCTATTAAACACAAAGCTTACACAAGCATAGCATAAAAACGCTGATATGGCCCTTTTAAACTTCATTTAATTAATTCTTGACATTGTGCAGACTAGTTTGACATAATAATTTTAACTCAAGATCTAATGAAAGCACTATCTTTTATCAGAGCTTTCAACTCCATCACTCTACTTAATTGCCCATGATAATCATTTGTTTTTAAAGAAACTGAACTGTGATCCTTAAATAATTTAATTCATTTTCAGACAAAAAAAAACAAAAAAACAAGCAATGCCCTGTGCTTAGCACTGCAACACTACCAACTTGGAATAACATATTAGCATGATAGTGTCACTTTTTTGTTGCAAAGTTCTGTAACTGTGGCTCAATGTGTACATATCATAACATGATTATAAAGAAACACAATCAACAAGGCTTTAACTGTAATAAAAGAAAAGAAGAAGTGAGAACAGACAAGAACAAACTGAGGTAGAAGGGCAGTTTTAAATACATGCTCACATGCTAGACACACCAATGTGCTAGTGTAAAATGAGTTTTACTTACATTCGGCTTGCTTCTGGGTTTTCTATTTCAGGCTCCTCGTATTCTCTAATTGAACAATAAACAATAAGGATAAGAACTACAGCAGAGGTCACGATGTGCATTAGAATTACACCGCATACTGTTGGCTCTCCATTGGATGCATTAGGGACTCTAGGGCAATATTATTTGACATTTTGATTTAGAAATCGCACATGTCTTAGGGATGATATGAAAGTGATGTTCTAGCTAAGAGACAACACTGGAGTCGGTGTAGCTAAAAGCAACCAGGTTAGCCTTACAGTGATTAGGGTCACAGTGTATTCTGCAAAATGTTAACAAGCCTACGCTGTTACTGTCAAAATAAACGTTAAACAAAAATTACACACACTCAAATCTTAGGGGGGCAATAGTGCTAGTCAAGCAGAAATGTCAGGGACCTGGACACCCTGACGCTGACTTAGCAACCTAATGTAGCAAATTCAAGCTAGCCCGCTGGCCTTGTATAAAACTAACGTTACTATTCATGCAAAATGACATTTCCGAAGTAGAAACAATTTTCATTTTAAAACAACCGATGCTTGTGATAAACTTTGCCTAAATATATTCATAAAACAACTAAGCAATAGCATCCACAGCTAACAGCTAGCTAGCTATCACTTTCCGTGTTTCTCCTAGCATCCCCAGCATCCCCGGCATCCCCGACGCTTTCCTCTTGGCTTCCCCACCTATATGGTCCTCCTGCGGGGCTAGTCTCGGCCTGTGGTGGCGCACACTCACAGTCCTCCTTCTCGTCGGAATTCATACGAGACTTTATCCTCAGTTGTTTGTTATTCTGTTGCTGTTTGTAAATGTATCAAGTCCTCCACAGGTTGATTACAACTTCAACAGTACGATAGTTGAGGCGTAAGCGGGCAGCGACAAAGGATTTTCTATTCAAAACTTCATTCACGGCCTTCCTACTGCAGGCTCTTTCCTCTGCCTGACGTTCACAGCCATCTTGACTTCACCATCAGCCTACGTCCCACAATGCACTGCGTTCTGGCTACAAGACCTGCTGGAATGGATTATACTGCTGCAAGGAACTGGACTCAATCATATTATGGTTGTACCCAGGTTGTAGGTGGCTAACGGAGCAGTAAATAAACAAATAAAAATGAAAATAAATGGTCTTTTTATTATTCACATAGTTATATATAAGTGATTGTACAGAATTTGTTGAAAAAAAGGATATAAAAGATTTTGTCATACAGTATAGTCAAAACTTTCTAGTGAGAAACTTACTCTGGGCCAATGGGTACAAGGAGAGGATGATGAGAATCCCAGACCATTGTGATCTCCAAACTTGTCATCAAACTCAGAGACCTGGGACTTAACACTGCCCTATGTGATTAGATCCTGAACTTCCTGACTGGAAGGCAGCATTACATCCTCCAACTTGATTCTCAACAGTGATGTCCCGCAGGACTGCATGCTCAGCCCTCTCCGGTACTCCCTGTTAACACACAACTGTCTGGCCAGCCACAGCTGCAGCACCATCATCAAGTTTGTCGACAACACAACTGTCATTGGCCTGATCACCAACAACGATGAGATGGCCTAAAGAGAGAAGGTCAGAGCCTTGACATCTTGGTGCCAGGACAACAACCTCTATGTTAACATCACCAAAACAAGGAGCTGATTGTGGACAGATTCAAATTCCTCAGGATTTACATCAGCGAGGACCTGACCTGGACCTACTCTATACTCTGCAACTTCTACAGGCACACCACTGAGAGTATCCTGACTGGCAGCATCACTCCTTGGTATATAAAGCACGAATGGTAAATGGTATTATTGCCACACCTGCATCAGCAGGTCTGTTTGGCTCACTGAACAGTCAGGCTCCTGTTTGTATCCAACTGACCAACAACTTAGTGATAAAGTGCACAGTGCACAGTTTAGTGCAGTGTTCAAAATACACTGTGGCTTTTAGGGGAACCTTATTTTTCAGGGGTGGGAGAGTACTGCACACATGCCCAGTGTGTAACACGTGTTAAGTGCATCTCATAGCAGGAATAGACAACACTGCTTTATTATTCATATAGATAGATATTTTACAATTCCCCCTAATTTCTCAAATGAGGGCAGTTTTTCAAAAGTTTGTCCAGATTCTTCATCAACAACAGCAGTAACACAGTGGTTTGTATTTAACATGATTTGTTGCTGGTTAATGTGGACACCAACATGAAGCAGGAGGAGCTCAGTGAGTTTATGTGTGTTTGTGTGTACATGTAAGTCAGTTTAACACTGAATACTGAGGGGAACAAATTAGATTTCTTTTAGCTTATGGTGGAATCTGGTCAATTATTGGGGGGACAATATTTCATATTTCATATACTGTACACACTACAAACTAATATTATTGTCAAGTTTGCCTTATCACAAATGCATCAGTAGCATCTGCAGATATAAAATTAAACGTGCAGTTACAAGAATGCCAAATGTATATTGGAGGTAATTTAGAAATAGTGCTATTACATAATTTTCCCAGTAGAGAGCACTATTTGAGCGATATATCAATAGAATCAGCTTCAAGACCGCTGGTCAACAGAAACTAACAAAACAAAACAACTCCTCCTTAAATGAAAACGTAGGCTTATTATTGGAACAAAAATAAATATAATGGCGTTATGACTTTATGAATGAATTACTGCATTAGTTTGGAAAATTATATAGTGCTTTAATAACATTCTATAAATAATCAAACAAGTACATACCTTCACCCGTGTATAACTCAAAAAGAGGGAATTAAAGCAAGCAACAACCCTTTCTCCATCACCTTTGAACATTTTCTGAACAAAAAAACAACTATTTGAAAAAAATACAATAGTCTTTGTAGAGCGAAAAACATCTGACTACAATTTCTAATTATTCATATTAATTTTGTTTTACTTGTTTTTCAAAAACAGTTCAGTTGGGCGGGAAATCAGCGGAACTGGCAACCCTAGCTAGCTGCTCGGTTTGCACGGACCATTTGCGCTAGACCACACCCCGAATTCAACTGTGACCTGACAGACGAAGCTCAGCTCTGCCACGAGGGAGTTTGCGAATTGTACCGAAGAACCAAGTACAAGTTCAGTAAGGTAATGCAAGTTAACAGTTACCTAGCTAGTTAGTCTTCATCAGTTCGTTAGCCATTTTAAGATAACAAAACAGATATTCTGTCAATATGACATATGTTCTACTTTGCCGAGTTAGTTCATTTTAGCTAGCACCACATGCTACTTCTTTGAACAGTTGTCTTTAGGCGTACGTAGCCTTCACCTTCAAAATGTAGGTGAAATAATTTTACTAAGCACTATTCATTCAAAAATATCGATTCATTTGGGTGTTTTGTAAAAGGGTGCGGTCATATCGAAAAAACCGCAAGCTGTCCCGCTTGAAAATGGAGTCTGACGGGATTATTTTAGCCAAAAGTAGCGCAAACTAATTTTTTAAAAATAGTTTTACAGTGTTAGCTACAGGTAGTCTACTTTGATAAAGTTTGTTTGAACGGGTCAATTAACTTTTAATGTGCTATTAAAGCGTATAGGGCCCCTATAGTACCTTTGGTACTAGTTACTGTTCCCACAGAAGCTAACGTTAGCATTATTCTTTGCTAGTATTAACTTGCAAACTGCACGAGGTCAGTGGTTTCACAAGTCACGCGGTGTTAGTCTGATAACGTGCTGTGCCAAAATCCTTCGGAAGGTAAATTTTACTGTTAAGAAAATAATTAACATTAAGTTACATAAGATTGTATTTATGTGCAATGATACCTTTTATTAATCAAGTGATATTCATTGTCCTTTCCCCTGTCTTTCCTAGGGTTACTTAGGATTTATGTAACTAACTGTCCCATGGTATGTGGTAGCAAAAGAAATTGTAATACATTTTTCAGCCTTTGAATGTTGTGTTTGTGTTTTTCAGGTGAATAAACATGGATGAGTGGGAAGAAGAGGTAAGTTAGTTTAGTGTCAGAGTACCAACCCAGATGAATCAATTACTAATTATGTTCAGCTTTGTTGTTCCTGTCATGGAGCTAGACAGTCAACACGTTTTCAATCTACCCATTTTTACAGGGAACTACTACTAGCACTACCACACTAACCACCACTAGTGAAGGTATGTTTACTGCTATGTATGTAATTATGTAGGGCTAATGTAAAGGACCAGTGTGCAGGATTTAGTGGCATCTAGTAATATAGTTTCAGATGAGGGGGCTCCAGTCAGGGTTTTGGGGGCAGATCACTGGAAGCAGTATTGGCTGTTACTTTAATTATTCTTAACAACACTGTATTTTAAGTATTGTGTTTTGGCATGCAACATACCCATCTCTAAAATATATATACACACACAAACCACCACTAATATTTAGCACAAATATCAGCAGATAATAATCGATGGCCGATCGATTGGCACGCTCTTTGTTGCAGATCGCAACTCCCAAATGTTGGGGTGGCTGCAAAACATGCGCAAAAAACATGAATGCCTCTATTTAGAGCCAGTGTTTGGTTTGTCCCTTCCGGGCTACTGTAGAAACACGGTGGACTAGATATACAAGGCTCATTCTAAAGTTACAAAAACATACATATGAATACATATCTGTATTCAGGTGATTACATACTAAGGAAAACATAGTTATGCATATTATATTCCATTTCTGCCAATAGATCCTCCTAAATCTTACACACTGGACTATTAATAGTGCTAGTACAACATCCATTTTTAATATGTTAAATTGAATGCTCTGTCCTTTAGCTGTTGAAATCACCTTTTTGTAACAGTGAAAATTTAAGGTAATGCGTAACTACAATGATTGGGTAACTCTAACAAAGATGGTGGATTATTGGAACTTAACACCTTGTTTTCAGGCAGACAAGAAGGGTCTTGGAATACTGCCAATGGTGAATCTGGAAGGGGTAAGTGTGGAAAGGATGAGCAAAGACTATCTATCCAAGAGGACATTGGTGATGATTGTCTCTTGTTTCACTCTAGGTTGTGGTGGAAGAGGCAGAGGAGGAGGATTTAAAAGCTCATTCTCCTCAGGTGCCTATTCATCTCTTATCAAACAAGTAGTTAAATGATTGTTAGTTGAGTGACTGAACATTTCAATGACAAGATTCTTTGTCATTTTAATAAGTAGCAATATAAATGACAAGATGCCACAATGGCCTCTTACTAACTTATGTGAGACATTTGATTAAAGAACAGTTGAATAAC